CTTTAGATTAGTTATTTTAAGTGATCATTTCGAAGTAAATCACAATTCAGCTTATTTTAATAATTTTCAAACTTGTATATAGGTTACTGTGAATGACCGAAATTGGTGGTTGTTGACCTCTACCGGGGAATGTTGACAATCACATAGTCGCTTTGGTAAATGTCTGAAAAATACTAGGTCTAGTTAAGTGCCACTGCTTGATATACATTTTCTCTGCATCATTGTTTTTTTAAGGTCAATTGCCACTGCCCAGTATGCATTTAACCAGTACTCCGAATACTGATGTTTCTCCTAATCTATCCTCAGCAGATATTAAAATATCGAATAAATATAATAATATCAATTAATAAATTAATATCATATCGGATATAATATATATTCCGGACATTCACCAAAGCGAATATGTGATTGTTGACATTCTCTCGATTTCGGTCATTCGCGGTAACACCAGAGACCAATTCATAACTTAGACAATATATAGCACAATGACAACAAATTTAACTGTCAGACATAAAAACTAATTTTGGTTTCAGGTTTAGGATAAAGGAATCTTCATTCCTCTAATTAAATATAGTCTTTTACAGGTTATAACGCTTACAAATTCACTTAATAAACTTTATTTATAAAGAAAGCTAATTATTTAGAGTTCCGCAGCCGAACCGCTGCACTAGATTGCTCGATACTTTTGGACATCGCTTCCACAAACATCAAAAGCACATTTGACACCTTTGGAAATGCCAGCGAATTATTTTAACACGATTGTAATCTGTGCAATGACGTCAGCTGGTACCAATTTGAACAGCTCTTATAATTATTGATTAAATAAACCTTTTTTTGTAGTTGGCAAGCTTGAGGATGTTTCGTAGTTAATTTTCAGTGTGACGTCATAACCTGCAAGGGTTTTTTGCGGTTATAACGAAGCATGTTCTTCTACAAGTTTTCAGTTTCTTGAAGTCTTTTCACCCTGTATTTGAATCACCCCGTATTGTTGATTATATCTAATTGATAATCAGCGTTGTGTCATTTGATCAACGTGTGATGATCCTTTAAATAATTTGTATCCCAAAACTACTGACTCATGTGGGTTAGGAATAGCGGTTGCCAATAATTTTTCCTCTTGAGCAGTGATGACTCTGGGGATAAAGCACTCGCCTTCCAATGAGGTGAACCGGGTCCAGTGATAGCTGGTGGAAAAGAATTCCGCATCCGGCACGCACTGGCCACTGTGCTGACGTAAAGTATCCTCAGTGGTATGGGTCAGAGTTCCCCCGTGGTTTTCCTCTCCATGTAATGCAAATGGGGGTATGTTCCATCAAAAAGTCTTCCACGAAGGGGAATTTCTCCCACTATTTGATCCATACGTTCCCTTATCTTCTGTATTGGGTTCTAAATTACAAGGCTACGGAGCTGAACATTAGTAGTCGTAAAGGCGTGTTTAAGGCTGAATTATGGGCCATTCTCCAGTCGATTCGTTGGATTAAGGAACAAAGAATTATAGACAATATCTCAATTTATGCGGATTCCCTGTCTAGCTTGCAAGCTTTGGAAAACAGCAACTCTGAAGAGTATTTAGTCCACTTAATTAAACGAGAATTCACAAACAATATCGTTTTACATTGGATAAAAGCACATGCAGGCCATGTGGGCAACGAAGAAGCTGATAGGTTAACCAAATTAGCTTGTGAGATATCAACGGTCGATCTGTTTGAAGATCCTAGCAGGCGGACTGCAAGAAAAACTTTGGAACGCGAAAAATTGATTGAATGGCGGGAGAGATGGAGTGACAGCTTTACAAAGGGAAGGCACACATTCGAGCTCCTCCCGAAAGTTTAAACGAGGAAAATCATGGGGAATTTCTTTTTAAATCAATTCCTAACTAATCACGGCTGTTATGGACAACATCAAGCCAGGTTTTTTGGGGGAGCTCAGCTGTGCAGTACCTGTCAGCTTGTTGAGAATTGGGAACATATATTAATCCAGTGTACAAATTTTAAGCACATTAGAGAGAAATTTTTTCATTCAAAAACCACCTATGAGTTTATAAAGCAGCATTGGTCAAACCCTAAAATAAAAAAGGGAATTGAGGAAATAATAAGAAAATTGTTTAGTAACAAGGCACCTCCCTGAATCCTGATGGCCTTTTGTTGCCTATTGTTGGGAAAGATGCATTTTAAATCACGGTTTATTGGTTTACCTGTTATGGTTTGATTTTTACTTGAATTTTCTCGTAAAATGTTTTTTGTGCTTTAGTTTCATGCTTTTGTCAATCTCTACCCCTATGTGATTCCTCATTTTGAAAATTTTAATCACTTGTGTTCCTGGAGTTTTTATATATATATGTCTTTTTCTTTAAAAAAAAATTCCTGGAATTTGATACCTTTAGTACTGTTGTGCCAGTTGTAATTATATTCTGAGTTACAAACATCCTATATTTTCCATGTGAAATTGTTTCCCTTTATTAACTTTGCTTTATTACTGAAGATGCGACATCAATATCTCTTCTGATTGTTACTGTTTATTTTCTTTGTAATGTTTGTTTGCATTTAGTTTTCTTCTAAGTAGCACTGTTTTCTGGATTTCATATTTAATATTCTACCTATTTGTTAAAACTATAATTTGAAAATTTTGAATATGTTTGCTCATGTAATTGAACTGTTACGCTCACTTCGAACTTTCGGAGTGCCCCCAGATGCCCCCTTACGGGGGAAGGACGGGCTTAAGCTTGTTATCAGTAGTCGTAAACCCAAAAAAAGGAGTCGGCTGTTTAACGACGGTTATAATTGATCGTACTTGGTGGAAGCCCAGCATTATAAAAAAAAGTTCATAGACAGCTATGAATAAACTAACTAAAAAAAACTATTGATTACTTTGAAACTATTTTATGCGAAGAATAAAATATTTAATTTTATGAATCTCTTTTTGATGTATGCGTTTGTTGAATTGTGGTTTTCAGAAAAAAACTGTAATAAACGTTGAGAATAGTTGTCATAGAAACATAGAACTCTTTATTCTTGAATTCAGTTGTTTTATTTTAAATTGAAAAGTTCGATGAGAAATACTTTTTGAATATTTTATAAATGCACATCTTTTTCATAATTTATTCAATGTAATGTCATTGAAAAAAAAATGTTTTTTTTTTTTTAAATTTTAATACTCTTTTCATTGACATTTTTCATAAATAAGTTCATATAAACAACTGGAATATTAAATAAATTATTAATTCTCCATTGAATATAAATTTAGTTATTACTGGTTTAAAAAAATTCTAACTTTCAGAGTCTCTGTTATTCTTCCACGGAACACCTTTTGGGAACCATAGATTTCCGTGAATGAATTTCGTTGTCAGATGATAGATCTTCTTTTTGTAATAACGCAAAGTGTCCAGTAACTTTATCACTCTTCTAATTTCAACGGCATCGAAGGAGAAATCATATGCTAATAATATAAAAAACGAGAACAAAAAGTATTCCATTGATTTGAAGGAAATATGAGGAATAAGCAAACTGGCCTATCGTTTAAACCATAGATATGTAATACAAGTAGGGCCATTTATATTTCTTCATCTCTATTTTAGTTCCCAACATTAGAATCTCTTCTGTCTCGTGTTCCCTCTCGTTTGACCATTTTGGTGGTGAAAGGAAAGCATTGTGTAACAGTTGTGATGGGTTGTCTTTCCTGGTAGATTCGTGTTTTGTACTTAGGCAATGGAAGAAAGTTGAAAGCTTCAGGATTAGTTAGCTTCAGGACGTTAAGATTAGCGAACAGTAAGATAATGGATTATTTTTTTGACAAAACTTTGCTAGATTATAAGTCATTTTGGAATTCCACTGTGTTAATATGCTTAAACTATACAAAACTGTTTACATTTTTACAAAATAAAAAAAAATAAAAATTTGAATGGTTTTAAAATCAGTCAAAATGTATCTTTTAATAAAACGTTTTACAATTTTATTCTCCCCAATTTTACCAGCCCTTTCTAATAATTTTTTATTGACTTATCAATATTGGATCATATAAAAATGCGTTCAAACTTTGATCTATCTAACACAGATTTTACAATAGTACTGCATTTTGTAAAATTATGGACACCTTTTCAGGTATTTGGAATTTTTTAAAACATTTACAAGAAATGATTTTAGACATGGCAAGACGTCGAAAGAAAAAATAGAGAATGGAAATTAAAAAAAGCTACATCCTCTTAAAAAACTAAAAAAAAAAAGTCTGATTCACATTCAATTTTTTAAAATTTATTATTTTATTTAACTAGCTTTAATATCACTGCAAATATTTTAAATTTTTCCATGTACTATTGCAATTATCAAAGAAGAGGCGATTAAGATCTGACGATTTCATCTAAGAATTTATAATTAAGTGTAAAAAAACTATTTGTCGAATTGACTATAATTGTCTCTCTGAAACTATTGCCCTATTTGTCGAATAATTTTTTAGTAATCTGTCACTACCCCTCTTCACTCTGTGCAAATGTATTTTATTAACTAAATGAAATTAAACCAAGCTGCTTAAATTAAAATTTATTGCAAAATCAAAAGCATTATCGAGAATAAGAAAAATACAACGAAAATAAGCAAAGAAGAAAAGAAATAATGTCGCGAAAATTTTGTATAAAGCATTTTAGCACAAAAGTTTAAAAAAAATCTGTATTAATGATGAATAATTCAATAGACTAATTTCTTTATAATTAATTTATATTCTTTTTCGTTTATATTTCCTTGTAGCATAGTTTTAAAAGTATAAACTTGAATTTTTGAATGAATAAACTAGAATAATCATGATGCATATGATGTTAGAAGGAAAAGAAGAACATACTTAGTTCATTTACATAACAATTGTATACTGAGTGCCCTAATTATTATGACCACCTCAGAGTTTTATGCAAATGAGTTATTGCGTCACAACGCTGCCTCTAGGGGGCAAGATAACTATAACACGGGAATGCTGGACAAGTGAGTCATTTGTTATACTGTGTTGCTTGCTCTGATATGGGGAAGAAAAGTGATTTAACTGAATTTCAACGTGGAATAATTGTGGGTGCGAGATGTGTCGGAACGAGTATCGGCAAAACGGCTGCACTTGTGAAGTGTTCTAGAGCAGCAGTTGTTAATGTGTACAAAGAATGGACAATCAAGCAAAAAACCGGATCTCAACATCAGACTTGTGGTCGTCACAGGGTACTGAATGCTCGATCAGAGAGAAGGCTGGCCAGGGTTGTACAGCGCAACAGGAGAGCAACAGTGCGACAAATTGCAAGTGATCTTAATCAAGGAGCAACTGTGAACGTCTCTGAATGGACTGTTCGACGCACATTGCGCCGTATAGGGTATGGAAGCAGACGACCTGTTCGTAAGCCTCTACTTTCTGCTTTAAATAAGCGCAGGCGTCTCTAATTTGCAAAGAAGCACAAACATTGGACAGTAGATGACTGGAAGAGGGTCATGTGGTTCGATGAATCATGATTTCAAATGCATCGCGCAGATGGCAGGATGAGAATATGAAGAAAACAGCAGGAAAGCATGAACCCCAACTGCACTGCTACGACACTTTAAGATGGTGGTGGCAACGTTATGATATGGGGAATGTTCTATTGGTATTGTATGGGTCCCTTAATTCCTGTACCACAACGCCAAATGCCCAAGGGTATTTAAGTATCATCGCAGATCAAGTACATCCGTTTATGTCAATGGTGTACTCTGGCGGGGATGGATACTTCCAGCAGGACAACGCTCCTTGTCATAAAGCTGGCATTGTCCTCAGATGGTTCGAAGAGCATGACGGAGAATTTAACTTGCTTCGTTGGCTAGCACAATCTCCAGATCTCAATCCAATTGAGAATTTGTGGGATGAAATTGAACGGGCGCTCAGACAGATGGATCCAGTACCATCAAATTTGCAGGAATTGGCAAGTGCAGTTCAGCGAGCATGGTCTGGCATACCTTCTACCACCTACCAACATCTCATAGAATCCATGCCCAGACGAATTAAGGCAGTAATACGCGCAAAAGGTGGCCCAACAGCGTACTGAAGGGGTGGTCATAATAATTTGGCCATTCAGTGTATATTTCAATAACATAAAACAATTGTATGTCCAAAATGTGATAAATTGACTTAATTATGAAGCGTATTGGGTTCCATTTTAATAAATGCTTCTGTACAACCAAATACAACACAGTAAACTGCCATACTTTAAGATTTTTGAATTTTCATCCATTGAAATGACAAGGGAAACGAAAGGTAGAAAATTTCTCTTTTTATTCGCACTCCAGTCACGTGGTTTCATTCGGAGGACAAAAATTATCCTTACGTTTGTGCTCTAGTTATGCTTCACTTTCATGGTTTAAACCTTTTTTGGAGTCTATTTATTAACATTAAATGCTGAAAAATCAAAATTTACACTATAACTTTATTAATACATGCATTATCTCTGCTTTTATTGGGTTTCATTATTTGTAATCAGCATGCACAACAAATCAACACCGTTTTTAATTTTTTTACCTATGCAAGTGCAAATTAACCAGAAACTAATCGTTTCGTAGTTTGCTTGTTTTTTTAATTAGCAGGCTTTCACTTATCAATATGTTTTTTAAACAGGACATTATTAATAAACTGTTTTTTAAAAAAATAAAAAAAATCAACAAGCTTACAATTATAAGCAGGTTTTTCAAACAAATCATTAACAAACAGGATTTTTTTTTCCAAAAAAAAACTAACAAGTGAAACTTTTAAAATTATAATTATTATAAGCTACTGCAAGAGTTAGATATCGCGAAATTTCACTAGATTTTAAAAAAGTCACTTGGCTTGCTCTTCCTCAAAATGCTCCCTAATTTTTTTTCAAAGAAATTTTAATAATTTAATTTTTTGCAATTATTTGAGTTGAGTCATTTCTGTTTGTAATTATTTTGCCTGCTATAAATTTAAAATTCAAATTTATTTTATTAAATAAGTATTAATTCACGTAGTTAAAAAATTTATCTGGTAATTGAGAAAAATAAACTCAAGTTAAATGTTGAGTGTCAATGATGTCATTTAAAGGCTTTTGCCTTCCATTGAAACAGCTCATATTTCAAGAATGTACAAAAAAAAATTTATCAATTCATTATTTATTCATTGATAAAAAAATTTTCAATAAATTCTTTTTCCTCAGGAAGGTAGAAAAACATTTTTATCTTAATTTGAAATAAAAAATAAAACTCTTCAAAACTATGCTTTTAGAAATTTCTTTGAAAAAAAAATGGTTAAATAACAATTCATTTAATTGATATTTTACCATATTCAATCAAAGTTATCAAATAACTATAAATAAAAAGGTATTCAAAATGTTGAATGCGAGAAAAACCATTTATTAGCTGCTTTCACCTAATACGGGCTAAACAACCAGAATTTTATCACACCAACAAGAACCACCTAATGAAGCCACTTAATTCCCATCAGATGGACACATATTATAGCAGAGCGGACTAATCTAGCAAATCTAGCAATCTCATGAACAACAGAACTGAGGTTCAAACCCCAGCGTTGACTTCACAATATTTCCTCCATTTCCTTTGACGCTTAAAGAGTACACTCCCCAATTTGTGACCCTGGACTGTTAGAAGACGATACACTCATTCAAGTATGAAAGGCCGCAGAATAAAATTTCTAAACTGTCTCCAATGTCCATTTTTATGGTTTTGAAGCCCTGATAGTTGTAAATATTAAAAAACCGTGTAATTTTGTATTCATGGATTTGTAACTATACTAAGCGGTTCAATACCGTAAAGGTAAAAAAGTGTGGTTAATCGGATGGACGGACTGCTGCGGGTTAATTTACCATAACTTTCAAATGGAAACTCTAACAGTGTAACCAAAAATGGAAAGAATGTCCAATGGTGATAAGAATGGAGTAAATTGAAAAATAATTGCTTGACTGGGGAGATCTCTTAGGTAGTCATGCGAGTGGGAAATTACTTCAGTATGATTTAGATTTATTGCAATAAAATTCATTTTCAAGCTGAATGTGTCTCTTGAAATTTATCTGCATAAACTTGATGTTAAATGGTGAAATATTTATTAGACAATATCAAAAAAATAAATATAATAAAAAAGCGACACTAGCCAGATACATTGATGTTGTTTAATGGTGATAACAAACAAAATTACAAAAAGTTTTTTGGCAGGAAATATTTTTCACTTAGCTGTGTTAGTGGAAAATTATTAATGTATAATTTAAATCCATTGCTATATGGCTCATTCTTTGAGTTGAATGGGTCCCTTGGAGGTGAATGGTATTCACTAAATAGTGTTTTTTCATATGTTCCTTCACAAAAGACCAGAGAAAATGGCGTAAAGAAACTTTTCTCTAACACAATAAATTGCCATAGCGTCTATTAGGTAAGAGTTTCTCAATTAAAGAAACAAGTTGTTGGGAAATAAAACCTTAATAAAATAGTTTAACACTCTCTTACACAAGTTAGTTCGCAATTGAAAAGAATAAAAAAAATATTACACAAACGTGCATTAAATTAGAAGTAAATTAACTCTGAATATTCAATTAATGGCATTAGTGTTTTATACATCATTTGTCATAAATAAAAATTCTTAATATCAGAGTATAAATTCTTCTCGTTTCAAATTATCAGGAATAAACTCTTTCTTTTCCTTATCTCTTAACCTAGGAATTTATTATTTCAAGTAGGAAAACTCGATTTGAATAGTATTTATTTAAAAATTACTAATATATTTAAATATGGCATTGAAACAAAACTTTATGAAATGCCTTAACAAATATGATTGATTAATGGGGATAACTTCTGAAATGCTATTTCAAAATTTTCCTTTTTTCGATTTATTTCACACTGTTAGAAATTTCGTGAAAAAAATAGTTAAATGACAATTCATTTAATTGTTATTTTACCATATTCAAATAAAACAGTCAAATAACCATAAATGGAAAGAATGTCCAATGGTGATAAGAATGGAGTAAATTGAAAAATAATTGCTTGACTGGGGAGATCTTTTAGGTAGTCATATTTTACCATATCATGACTTACAGAATTTCAATCTCATGACTTACAGAACAGGAGTTCGAATCCCAGCATTGTCATGATAATATTTTCTAAATTTCCCTCAACACATCCAGAGTTTCCAGTGTCCTATAATCCCCAGATTTGTGACCCTGGGTTATTAGAATACGATGCTCTTATCTCATTCACGCATAGATGGCATCACCATAAAGCTGTTGAATTATCTCTTATTTCCAGTAAAATTTCTTTTTTACGGTTTTGTAGCCATGCTAGTTGTAAGTGGGTAAAAAACCGTAAGGGAAAAAATGCTCTTTACCGTAAACTTTATGGTTAATTGGATTGACAGACTGCTGCCGGTTTTTTTACCATAATTTTAGAATGCAAATTCTAACAGTGCATAGATTCTTTTCAAACTACCATAATTTGAGAGTTAGAGTAAAACAAACTTCGAATCAATTTTTAAAAATCTATTGTTTCTAATTTAAAAAGAGTGTTCACATTAACAAGTTTATTTTACTCTCAACATGTAACGTAAAAAATCATTAAAAGCAATTTTTTTTTCTGTTTTTGAAATAATCATTTTTTTTCTAAGAAAAAAACAGGTGCTAAAATTGCCAATATATTTCAAAACAATCTATTTCAACATAAAATATCGTCGTAAATTTAAGAACCTTAAAGAAAATCATAAAGAAGCTTATTATATCTGATAAACCTATCAATTTTTTATTATTCTACAAACAAATCTATAATTTAGCTATTTTTATTTAAAATTTGAGCAGCAGATACAGCTGCCTATATCATCTAAAAGATCCGCCTACCACGGAGGATATTTTACATCAGCATTGTGGTCAGTGCAAGCAGGGAGACCCACCAACCTGGGATTCGAACTTGGGCACCTCATTGGTAGGCGAATGCTCTATTTCCTGAGCCACCACTGTTCAGCCCTAACAAATTAACATATTTGAGTTCCCGCCCTTGAACCATTAAAATTGTATGTGAAAATCCGATCATTAATACCAAAAATTATCCTGTGTTTTTTTTTTTCTTTTTGCATAGCGCATTCATAATAAGTTGTTAAAAAATATAAAGCATTTCCTAATATTTTGAGTTCCTCTCTCATGAAACACGTTTAATTTCATTTTAGAAATATATTTAGCTATACATATTTTGATTACACCTTTTTTTAGGTCGTTTTATATGAATTATTTAAAAACAGGATTGGGTAAAGGAGGCATAATAGGAAAAAATTGACCGACAATGATTCTCATTTTAAAACAAACCAATAGTCTAAAATATCATAGTCAAGAAGAAATATAAGTATTATTGGTCAATATATTTTCTTATACAAGCCAATAAATCAAAAATTAATTTTTTCCTAAGTTTGT